CAGCTGATCGTCGGAGGTACCAGTTCGCCCGAATGGGTCCGAACCGGCTGAATCCCACACCTGTTTAAAACCCTTTAAGTATCCACCACAATAATATTAACATTCAGCTGTTCAGAGCTTGTTTTTTCCCCACTGATTCTGAAGCTGTTTACCAATCAAAAGAAATGCCTATTAAATGCAGATAGTCCTCAACTTACAATGGTCAATTTAGTGACTGAAGTTACAATGGCACTGAAAAAGGGACTTATGACCATTTTTCACACTTACGACCATTGCAGTGTCCTTACGGTTGCATGATCAAAATTCAGACGCTTGGCAACTGGTTCATATTTATGACGGTTGTAGTGTCCCAGGGGTTACATGATCCCCTTTTGCGACCTTCTGACTAGCAAAGTCAATGGGGAAGCCGGATTGACTTAACAACCGTGTNCAGGACTAGACCTCACAGTCTCCTGGTTTGAGAATCTGCCTTGATGGGGTGCATCAGTCACAGGCATTATGTCCCAGCTGTAGCATGCACAAGAATATGCATTTTATTGTGTCGGTTCTGTGGCTTGGGTGGCTTACCAGGTGCAATCTAGATTGTCCATGGGATTCTGTCCTAATGGTTGTGTCATAAAGTTTGGCTTAAACTTGATTTAATGAACAAAACAGCTCTTAACAATGGATGTTCAGTGCGAGGCCGTCGACTGGGGCTTCTGTTTCTCACCACAGCTGGGTCAAGGGCCAAGTTGTCTTTATTAAGCCACAACCCTGTCCACCGGCATTTCCTCAACACAAGTCATTTTACACACAGCCAAGTCTTTGTATTGTTTTTTTGTGCTGCAGCAATTTTTTGGGGATAGCACTCATGCCACATGCTAGGTTTATTTCCGCCTAAGATTCTCTCTCTCTCCTGTCTTGAATCTGCGGTTACTTTAATGTGTCTTCCTGGCATCTCTGCGGCTTCTTTAAGGAAAAGTCTGTGAGCCACAGAAATGCCACATTTTGATTCTGCAGTATGACCTAGATTGACTCTGGGACTTGACTGGTTGGCAAAGAGAAGGGAATGCAGGAGAGGAGACTTCTGCCTGCCAGCTGCTCTTCTCTGCAGCAAATGAGTCTTTCTCTTCTTCACATTCCTGAGGAGGCCAGGCCATCTAAGGTGACTTTTCCCACCAAGGTGCTTTGAAGGAGATGCTTTTGTAGATCTCCGTTATTTTCCTCTGAAATATCCTGAGAAACTTCAGATAGGAATGTAACGATAGGGCAGAGGATAGATTTTGGAAGGCGTTTTATCGTGTAAGAAGTAGAGCAGTGATTTGATGGTTGAATCGGGGACATTTAGTAGAGTTTAGTACAAGGAGTTAGTCTGTGCTTGTGCTTAGATGGCAGAATTTTCACTTTGGCAATTGCAAGCCCTTACGAACAGGAATTGCAATTTTAATCTACAATGACTTAGAATTATTGTCACTTTAAAAGTACCCTAATTGGCATACATTAAAACGAAATTTCATTGCATATAATGTACAAGTAATCCTTGGCTTACAACAGTTCATTTAGTTAGAATAATAGAGTTGGAAGGGGCCTTGGAGGTCTTCTAGTCCCACCCCTTGCTCAAGCAGGAGACCTTATACCATTTCAGACAATTGGTTATCCAATCTGTTCTTTAAAAACTACCAGTGGTGGAACACCCACAACTTTTGAAGGTAAGCCATTCCACTGATTAATTGTCTCACTATCAGGAAATTTCTCCTTAGGTTGCTTCTCTCCTTGATTAGTTTCCACCCATTGCTTCTTGTCCTGCCCTCAGGTATTTTGGTGAATAGGTTGACTCCCTCTTCTTTGTGGCAACCCCTGAGATATCGGAACACTACTAGCGTGTCTCCCCTAGTCCTTCTTTTCATCAAACTAGACATACCCAGTTCCTGCAACGTTCTTCATATGTTTTAGCCTCCAGTCCCCTAATCATCTTTGTCGCGCTTCTCTGCACTCTTTCTAGAGTCTCCACATCTTTTCTACATTGTGATGACCAAAACTGAATGTAGTATTCCAAGTGTGGCCTTACCAAGGCATTATAAAGTGGTAGTAACACTTCATGTGATATTGATTCTTTCCCTCTGTTTATGCAGCCTAGAACTGTGTTGGCTTTTTTGGCAGCTGCTGCACAC